TATATATATATATATATCCTGGTGACTAAAACCAACAAAGGTGAGTATTTTCTTTGGTTAGGCAAATAAATAGAAATTCTACAGACCCCACTGACTAAATCGATATCTGTATGGTAAAATGGTCAACGGTAGATTTGACTTTTACAGTCGAGTAGTAAACCAGCCCCTGGAGCTTTCTGCAACTTTGCAGTAACCCACATGAGCTTACATAAATACTCACACTGAAGCACATGAGGTTGCGCACTTTGATGCGAATTTGAGAAGAATTAAAACGAATATTCACGATCTGTCTCTGATCAACAGAAACCTGGCTACACATATGAAGCTCTTCAAAGACAGACGGAAACCCAGGAGGAAAATGGGCACGTGAACTTGACAATGGCCGTTCCCTAGAGACCTTACAAGGAATGCTGCCATCACTGAGCAACGTACATGATTGTGTATCTGATGTGACTACCTGATGATTACCTAAATTCTAAGGGCCAAAATATCGCTCATTCGCGGGTGAGTAGATACCTGGATTTGAAAAAGTCTTCTAGTGCAAGCCAGACATCTGACACAACTTTACTACTTTTGGTTACAACAGACTGGATCCTGATGGTTTCTGTGACTTATAAACATTGTGGATGTCTAAGCTATCGATTACGCTGACGTGATATCATGCAAACCTGCATACAGCTGTTTCGGGTTGTGTAGGGCAGGTGCAGGTCTTCCGGAAGGCCGAAATAATTGTGCTGCCATGTGCACTGACTAACTTAACTTACGGCTCTATGTGTCGCCTTTACTAGGTTTCTCAGATGACCTTGGACATCGCGGTTCTTTACCGCATCTAACACAAAACTCTTGCTTTCACGAAGCGAAGGGACCTTACGGTGGTGTACACCTCCATGACTCATTCGGCCATAGTGGGAGGTGTCTTTGCGACACTCACAGGATGGTATGAACATGAAGTTGTCACTGTTAATAGGAGACCGAACTTCTTACTCCTACTGGCGAACACATCTTTCAGATAGCACCACCACTGCAAAATTTCAACAGATGATATCTGACGATAACATATCAATTCACATTCGCATAAAATGTGACCATTCGTAAATGTTTACATTCAGTTGTCGTATATATGCGGTTTTCCACTCGACCTTTGTTTGCACCAGATGATTTGTTCGCATACGTGGAGTGATTTTTTATGCAAATTCTCGATTGATGTTCACAGTCATCACGAAGAGACTGGGCCTTATTGTAGTGTGACGGTTTCCGTGCCTCCGTGACTCCATGACCCACGGACCCTGGGTAGTGTCCTTGCGACACCCACAAAGTCCCTCATACCAGGTTGGTCAGTGGTTAAAGGTTTGACCAAACCCCAGCTTGTGGTTTGGAACGTTCGTGGGGACTTCGTCCTCAAAAATGGTAATGCATTTTTGTTCCCCACCAAGCACTGTTGTAATGCAATCAAGTCAGGCTTATGAGCCAAAGGCTTTGACCGAGGACCCGAATTGATGGCATTAACCCAGCCCACGTACAACCCTCCATGCCACATAGGTCGGCACCTGGTGTCATCAGTTGGGTAGAGTTACCTACTTCATTCTGCAAGGAGCATGAGCGAAAACGAGCTGCCTCTAATATCTGTCATCGCTCCCCGTTCCACTGATAATTCTCTCCCAGTAGGCTCATCCGTTAGGACTGACAACCTTGTTCTTATTCCAACGGTTTTGGCCACAACATCTGGGCGTCACCAAAACAGACAGCCACATGCATCTTGAAGTCGAAATCCAAACATCAAAGCCCACTCCAGTGGACTGCCTTTAATATCCACACTCTAAAGCAGGCAAGGCAACAAACTGTTCTTTCTGTCACACTGGACAAGCTTGACATTGATATGTTCTGTGTATCTAAAATAGGGATTCAAGACAAAAAGCTAACTGACTTTCACTCTCCATGTTTGACTGCATACATGTTGATAGTAGCCTCCGTATGGCTACTTCGGTAATGCAGCCTCACAAGCCTCACAGCTTCCCTAATTGTCGTGCCTGCTTGGGCGTCAACCGGCTCTAGCTCTGACACCATCAAAGACACTTATGACATCCTGAATGCCTTGTCACGGCAGGCTAAAAGCTCTGTTATCATTGTGGTTGCAGGAAACAGAAACGCACGATTGAGTAACTGAGACTCATTCATGCGGTCGTCATGGATTGGGCGATTGGGTGGTGAACGATTCCTTCAGAAATGTGCTGACTGCAAGCCGTTTTCACGCAGTACTACTGGCCATATTGTGTCTTCCAATAAACTATCAACCACGCACCCAAAATGGTCATAGCCCATCAGCTACCGATAGCGCGGATCACTAACTAACTGCCACTCGTTTTGGAAACTATAGGTGGATTCCGAACACCCGGTCGTCCCGAGTCGCTTTTTCCTTCGTTTTCCAGGTCAGTGAAAGATGCGAACAAATATCCAATCTTTCCATTCCTAATTCACTACTTGGTGGATGACTGATGAAAAAAAACAATTTAGGGTTCACGAAACCCCAATGCTCAAATGGAAACTGATGAACAATCTGTCGATCTGGAATATGCAAACGACATTCTAGTCTCCAAAGGAGAATAGGTGTTAGTGTTTTTGGATGAAGTGACAAAATTCGTCCCGTACTTCGGCATGCGCTTTGCTCTCACAAAGTGCAAGGCCATGCTCCTGAATGTTTAGTCACTGAGAACATCACTTACAATCCAGGAAGAGGCACTGGAATTTGTGGAGCGTTTCACGCATATTGGAAGTTTTATAAGTTCTGACTGTAGTGTGGCAAATAAGGTCAATGCACTAATTTGCAAGGTCCGGGTCGCGATTACTAGTATGAGATACCTATTACATCAAAGTGGCTTAACCTTGAATTTCAAGGGACGTATGTATCAGGTCGCTGTTTTATTGTATGGCCGAGAATTGACCTGTTTGAGCAGCGGAACAAAAACATGTGTTCATTCTTCGTTGTCTCAGAACCATTGCTCGTGTGGGTTGGTGTCGGCGAGTCCGTAAGGAGGCAAGTAGCAAGCGAGTTTGAGCTTGTGCAACAGGGCCTTCCGCCGAAAAATGTATCTAGCATAATAAGCTGTGTTGAGTGGGTCATTTAATGCGCACGATTAACCACCGTTTGCTAAAGAGAGTCTGTTTTCTGTACTCAATTCAGGGTGGGTATGAAAGAGATGACGTAAAGTTTGGGTACTATTGGTACGACTTGCCTTCCAGGATGTGGACCGTGTGATCTTTACTGCGCTGGCTAGAGACGCTATATGAAATGGCTGCTAGTCGACGTCAGAGTCATTCTTGTTATCAGTTTCTACTCCGAATGCTTGAAGGAGTGTCTAGAGGTGTACGCACCTCCGAATGATTGTAGTAAGCCAGCACCAGGTCTCTTCCCTGTCCACCTTTTTTTTCTTCACAATAAAGCTTTCAAATTAATCATGGTTGTACTGCAGCAAAGCATCAGAGTCGAACAGTGATTTCATGCTGTAGCTCACGATGATGATGATGAGTGACTAAGAGACAATACATATTTCCAATCAAGCAAGATGGAAGCTCACGGTCTACTTGAAACCCATTGTTCTACACTAGTAAGCTTAGACTGCACTGATGTGGAATAATTCTTCTTTTGCTCAACTTCTGGGAGTATACACTGCAAAGAACTGTGTAGATTTGAGTGGAATCGTCCGGCTAGAAACCATATACCTATTTTCGAACACAACAATAAGTTCGCAGACTTTCGAACTTATGAAAGCTCTCTAAAAGCCTCCGTTCACAAACCGGTGTCTGTCAGAGGTGCTCACGGGTGCTCCATTCTAATTCATTCTCTTGACCGATGAAATAATGTGACCATTGCTGGTTGGTCTTTAAAAAGATGGTGTTCAAGTAACTGCTGATGGAAACCTTGTCGATCTGGATTGTGCCGACTATGTCGCTCTTTTCTCCGGATGAGAGAAGGCGCTAGTGAGTTTGGATGAACTGAGAAAATTTAACCCATCCAATGGTATGTGTTTCTCGCCTACAAAGTGAAGGTCATGCTTCCAGACGTGCTGCAATTGAACAAACCCCTTACAATCGAAAGAGAGCACTCGAAGTTGTGGACCATTTTACGCATCTTGAATGCTGTATCAGTTTTGACTGCATTGTGGTGGATGAGATCAGTGGGCGAATCCCTAAAGTGACGTATCCCTGAATCTCAACAAGTGTCAGAAGTTCTTGCTATGACTGTCTATCCAAACTGCCTATATTTGTTCGGAATTTTATACCTTAAAAAGTCTGTGATAGGCTAGCACTAATTAACTTCTATTCTCTTAGTCACCGTGGGACTTTCCCATTAAAGATTATTGTATCGTAGCAAAACATCAGTGTTGTACATTAACGTTATGCTCTCGATGGTGATGCTGATGACGATGTGTACAAGGTGTACAAGGTCAAATCACCATGTGAGGCAAATTTATGCTGTCACATGTAGGCCGCAAATCGTAATAAATTTATGCTTGTATGCTAGAGAACAACAGAAAATCGAGCTGATCTTTGATGATGTCGTTAGGCTAGAACTGAATCTCAGAGCACAGATTTGCATCCGCAAAATGCAAGTGTGGAAAACCAGGCACTTGAAATCAAGCATTCTTACAAACGACCTCAAAATCACTGAAAAGATTCTACTCGGTGCAATAATGAAGTGACACTGTCGAAAACGAAAAATAATTCGGAGGTTGGCTTACAGAATGGATCAGAATGGTTTCCTTTGTTTGACAGAATGACTTGATAAATGCCAGTGAGAAGTAATATTCCTCAAGGCCCAAATTGACCTTCAGGTTTACGACAGTAGCCTTCTTCCCATGCAGATCGGGAATGCAGTGAGTGAGTAAAGATTTGACTTGTATCAACGTAACGTCACATCTAATCAATTGACGTTTATCCCTGGTCTTGTCATATAACTTTGATTCCCATCTAAATCATGCCTCCACGAAACGTTCGCGATAGTTCTGTCGCACGTAATTGCACGTAATTGTCTGCTCGTTCCCTGTCGACAACCATTGTCAATCACAATCCAGTCCAGCTCCGATGTTCTCCCTAATAGCAAACTCACTAAGTCATCTTACTTCCTTAGCTCAAGCCAATAGAAAACTGTCACGCGTAAGGCACTCCACTCAAATCACATAGATGACACTGCTCTTATTGGAAAATGCATTAACACTTTAAATTCCAGATTTCTTCTGTGGCGACAAACTCCATGTACCAAACTGTCCAGTAAGATCTGTGACCTAGCTTTGAAACTTGTCAAAATGTATCTAAAGATAAGGTCATTGCAAAAAATTTACAAGCAAACTACGGAATTAGTATAAAAAACAAGTTTTAGAGTCCGACGTCAGCGCTCCAGATTGCAATAAACAATTTGTTCACTCTTAGGATACCAAATGTGCTCACACAAATAGCTTGCATTCACTGCATCAAGGACTAGTTTATTCGGAGTCGAAAGATGAAAGTGAGTCCTAGGCGAATGAAAATAAGTCATTCCTGGGAAAAATAACTGTCGGCTGAGACACTGAATAATTTGTTCTGATTAGCCGTTTTTCGTGTGATGCGAAATGTTGTTTACCTATCGCAGAAATGCTGCACAAAGTGAGACAACAAACCCCTATACAATCAAGGTCTCGTTATCTCACTTTCCGCAGTTCTCTCATGTCATGCATTCAACTTCCTCAGTAAGTTTCAGCTAATTCTTTCATCCACAGTTCAGTTGACGTGGATCTACTTTTTGGCACAACCAAAATATGAAACACCATGCTAAAGGAACGATTTTTTATATTTTCAACTTGCTTTTCTTCGAAATAGTTCAGTAGATTAGTATCTGTTTGGATTTTTGAAATTTACTAGATGTAGTGGTGGTTATGTCCACAAGAACTGTTAATTTGACTTACCAAAATCATTGGTGGGTGGTCGTTACAATCTTCAATATGCAGATCCAGCCAGGCGTCGCTGAATTTTCCTGCTCCGTCTTTTGCAGTCACCAGTAAGGAAATGTTCATGAGGCTCAGACCTCTCAATCCAGAATCAGTGAGATAAATGTGGTCTCCTGAAATAAAAATACGTCGTCGAATCCTCTCAAGATCGGGGGACTGTTCACTTATTTGGAAGTTTACACGCCCATTATCTGTCTCAGGATCATCTTGGTCATCCGCTTTGAGTTGGACAAGCTTCCTTTGTGATGTACATTCCTGAGTAGTCATCCAGTAGCGGATATTATCAGTCGTTCCATTAAACGAAGACTGCATCCAACCAGACGGTTGTAAACCTTCAACCAAACGGGTACGACCGTCATGCGTATAGACGGTGAGTACCCGGGACCATGTTGGGTAGTTGTCATTGATATCTCGTACAATGAGACGAACGTTTACATCACCCTGTTGATTCGCTGCATCGAACGCAACCAAGCGGAAGTTGAATTGGTTCACCTGTTCTCGATCTATACGACGAATTACTTGGAGGCAGGGTATCACACCTGGATTGGAAGGTGCATCTAACCCTTCAAGATTTGTATCGAGCATTCTGTTCTCTGGATCAAGCTGCATGTGTTCGCACTGGATTCCAATTCCGCGGAAAAGTCGGATTTGGAAATGTTGTCTGATCTCTACCGACGTTGACGCCGAATGAAAGTCATAGCGTCGTATGCCATTGTCTAAACTGTCTGAATCTAATGCCATTGGTAGAGAAATCAAAGTTCCAAGTGGGCACTCTTCTGTTACATATAGGTTTCGAATACCTAGGTCTGAACCACCTAGTTTTGGAAAATACGGCGCATTGTCATTCAAGTCGGCGACTATGATGGTCAGATCAATATAGATTGCTTCCGTGTGTGTCTTCTGACTGACCGGTTGGTCCCCGCTACTTGCAGTAAAAACTTCGTCTGGTGGTCGTACAACATGGGCGACCACAAGCAGATTAACGGCACATGGTGTGTTAGTCCCCTGCAAGTCAGGACATAATCGTTCTCGGTCTAGTGATACAGTGAACCTTAAAAGGCCAAAGTGTGATTCGATGTGTACAACAGAAGCGAAGTTCACACGCTGATGTGGAAGCAACATGGACAGTAGATTGGCACTTATATCCAACAACTCAAAAGTGACTGGAAGAAGCGACCTGTTTTTTTGATGTAGGAAATCATTCGGAATACCGGAACTGGACAAGAGTTTGGTGAGGTTGGCCACAATGGTGTCTGGAGCTGATTCTGATACTTGCGTAGTCAGTCGTAGAGCTTGTGTGACCCCTCTTTCTGGAGATAAACTATACGACCAGCTAGGCTGTGGAATGGCGAGCAGAAAGACTCGGAGCATTGTGTTGATACCGAAAGACCATAGAGTTGTCATGTTTATCCATGCGACCTCAGAGTGCCCTGTGAAAAATGAGAGATGTGAAATTGTGGGTGTTAATCTTTCGGAGGTAAACAGTACACTTAACTTATGTGTGTGGATAAAGGTAAGGAAAATGACAGGTTTAAATTCCCGTGGAACTTTATTTAATGACATCTTTGTAATGTACTACTCATAAGGTTGCTTAAAATCCGTCGACAGCCCACGACCGGTTTCGCCCTTCTTGGGGCCCATCAGCTAGGCGCAGTCCCCGGGTTTCTAATGACGTTAAGATGGACAATTAGCCAAATGACTCCTAACACACTCAGGCTTCCACTTCACCTTTTGACAACAGGACATACTTGCAAACTAGTGCTTACTCGATCGGCTGTCGAAATTTTACCCGCTACTGTGTGACCTCTCCTTATTTTTTGGCAGATCTCCTCTCCGATCTATTCTAAGAATCTAAGAACATTGTTCTATTTCTGATCCAATCTGGAGAAGGAAATCAACTGTATCATTTACTAAAACCATCTTAATGTTAACTTGAGTGGCTGCCTCCACCTACGCGTGGCTTTTCCTTCGTAACAGTATGATGGTCGCGTTTTTATTAAGTACTGAAACTCCCTCTTGAATCCCTATGCATAAAGACCGCTAATTAGAAGCTCCCCCGCTGTTACACATCTTGAGATGTTGCGCAATATGGGTGTCTCACTTCAAAGGTAATTTAGAATCTGACATATATATGAGAACCCTACTCTACAGCTAACAAGGATTTTGCAAATATCCAGAGCCATTGAGCAAATGAAGTGATACTGCCCTGGGAAATCTATTCAGGTGTATTAACGGGGGCGCAATTTTCTTCGAGTTAGCCAGACCATCCATTTCTCAACTATTTAGTTCAGGCAGAATGCATTTTCTTGCGCAGAAAAGTGAGTCTCCACTCAGCTACTTGCAACTGTATTTAAACTATGGTGCTTCAGAACTGTGCCGTCATTGGCAAAGGCTTAGAATATATGTGACCGGGATCTTTCGCTTCCACTGTCCTGCATCGTAAAAATATGTCCCAGGGTTTTTTCATTATAAACAAACAATTCCTCAGAGAAGTTCGGAGAAATGGGAAATCATCACAGCTGCTGCAGCACTGCTTTCTATGGATATGAAGTACTCTTTGGAAAACACCTGACTAGTGGACGATTGGTTGGTTTCTTGTAAGCTACTTTTTCTGACTAATGCTACTAAACATACTGGATTAGCCAAGTAGTTGAATGAATAAAATAAACCGAGTCGGTGGAAATCAAAAACGCTAAGTTGAAGGACATCATATGTAGAATGTCTGCTTAGCCAAAGCTCTCCTACTTCAGCAGTTCAGTTCAAGTCATGATTACTAGAAAGGTATCCACGGCTTAATACATTTGAGGCATATCCAACTATCTGTAGGCACGAGATTAGCTGACGGTATTGCAATATATCATTCAATAATGTTTACAAAAACCTAAGGTATAGAGCCATGGTGCCCTATTTCGTTTGCTACCACTCCAGTAAACTCCCTTAACCATCATTATAACTCAGATGCACAAATGTTCTTGGGACGCATGAGGGCATGCAGTTCAACAGTCTGATTGCTAGATCACTCGATTACAGTGCGAATTTTTAGGCGTTTGAGCGTTACAGGCTCGTGGAATGCTAAGCAGATGGTGATCGGATAAAATTTACGCGTTAGATAAATATTTAATCGGACTGTGAGGGTAAAAATGAGTCAGTATTAACTGATAACCGGCAAAAAAGCTGCTATAAACAACCGGGATACACATCCATGAAGTTGTATTCAAACGTAGTAAATCACTGAAACTAGTAAATTTGATTCTGATTAAATGGAATTAGATTTTTCCTACGGACAGTAGCGGCTTTTGCTACTTTCAAATTACGTGCGAACCATAAGTCCTGTAGCTGCAAAATACCTCCCCAATATTTTTCTCAATTAATTTGTCTTATGATGTATTGCTATATTACGTTTATATATTTTTTGCTGGATTAGTAATTGACATTTGCTTGCATGGAAATTACCTCGGGCAAAGAATGATAAACAATATCTTACAAGCTTCACCCTAATGGGGTTGTCTAAAGTGACGTATGTTTACACCCTATGTAATTTACCCTTCCGTTTTATAGCGCGGCTCTGTAGGAAGAGCTAGGTCAACTTCTCGTTCTTTCGATAATTTATTTTGCTTGCTTCCGGGCAGCATCAAAGGCCTGTGAAATATTCGTTGGTCATTGTGCATAGACATGTTTCTGGCGTGACAAACAAGGTATACTTTGTATCCTTTCAGTCGCAGAAGTTAAGTGAGATGGTGAGAGCATTGGAGCAGTTTTGGAGCTGTTTACCTTTTCAGCTCATTCGAGCGAGCCCACACCAGTCACTTAGATAGCTACGCATCAAGCGTATCCGTTGTTTATCGGCCATGTCACCTGTAGGCAGTTGTGATGCGCTAGTGAAGTAAATTTGACACCTTAACATTTCAATGTGCCACTCGACCTGTCTATCGTTACCTGGCATTATTGTCAGCCTGATAGTTTACCGGTAAATCCTAGAGTTTGTCAAAAGTATTCCGAACGTTGGTATCTAGAACGCAAAGGACAAGTATAGAGCCAATGAAAAGATGCCTCGGAAGCAATTGGGCACGGATAGATTTTGTGGTGATATTCATCGATATTCGTCTCAATAGATGGAATTCTATGCTTCTACATTTACAGGCACACGGGAAAGACATGTTTCCTCCAAGTGGAAGTACTGCAACTCTTGATGCACTCAGTCAGGATTGGACCACACATTTTTCTCCAAATGATGTGTACTATTTGCGTTTCTAAAGGACCATAGGGACCATCTTTTCCTTTCGCTGCTTGTCCTATTTACCTGCGCTACTAAAAACAGTCACATGAACCGTATGAGCTCTCGGGACGTTGCATTTTAACTCCGCCTTCTAAACAAAAAGCACGCTTTGATGGAGGAAACTACTCACAAGGTCGTTGAAAACTCTTTGACAGCCCACGACCGGTTTCGCCCTTCTTGGAGCTCATCAGGTAGGCGAGATCCCCGAGTTTCCGTCGCCCCTATTTTCTACTCTAACCCAGATTGGAATCTTTTCGAGAAATACACTCATTTGCAAATCAGTTTGGTTTTCACGAGAGCTCAGCTGAATATCTCGTTCACAATATTCTACAGTTGGGTCTCTCCTGAAAACCAAATTGATTTGCGAATGAGTGCACTTCTCGAGAAAAGCACGCTTGTTTTCACACCAAGTCAGTTCATCAGGGGGAATTTCCTCACACAGATTGAACAACACCTGTTAGCCAGAGAAGGTGTAGATCAGCGATAGAGATGAGTTGAATCACAAATGCGCGAAACCGCACGTGCATATCCCCCATGCCTTGTCAGTAGTGAGAGTCTTTTACAGATTTACCAGATCAATCTTCAGTCTTTTCGGTGACATACTAAAGGGCAAACAGAAATTATGCACAAACAGGCCTCGTTGAGAAAAAGTACAGTATAAAAATATAAAAATATGAGGTGCGAAAATTCGTCACTTGCCGTAGGATGATTTTGTAAGTTCAAACCTTCCTGGGGTCTCGTAAGGTGCGTACTACTGACGATTTCCAGTGGAGATGGAACAGCTGCATAGTGGTTCTGGGCTTTTAAACACAGATTGGCTGTATTGGCCTGACGAAATCTACATGGGAAAGTATTACAACTCCTCACCCTATCATCATTTTTACAAGCACTTAATCTGGAAGAAATGTATAAAAAGGGCTTTAGAGAAAGCGCTGAACTAAACTAAAGCCTCGGAGTATCACCAGTATTTCTCAGAGATGCTGAGTTTTCTTGAAGTTCATCTAAGTGGGGTAGATGAGCAAAAGCTAATATTCTTTTGCATCAGCACGTCGATCCTAAAACTAGTCAAGTCATCTGATCAACATCTAATACTGTCCACATATTCTATGGCTTTCGGCATGGTAAGTAATAGGCAGCACCATAAGTTACGTGAAACCCAGTAAGTAAAATATCGCGAATCTGACGGTTAGTTTGGTGTACCGCATCTCTTCCTGGTCGGACTGTCAATAAATTTCGTATGTAACAATATTTCATATTTGTCCCACATTCCAGTTAAGTCACTTTGAGCAAAGGATGAAACAGCTACGAGTAGTTTCTCATCCTTTTACAAGAATATTCTCAGGACCATTTGAAGTAACAACAGTTTTTAGATATTTGAACTTCTCACAAATGTGTCCCACGTAAATGTGTTCACCTTCCTTCCAAAAGGCATTGCTTGGAGGCATGGTCCATACTGCCAGTGCGTCTGAGGCTGCACTGTTTGTATCAACCTTGCTCAGTTAAAAGTATCGAACAGGTTGAACGTGTGCGTAATATCCGTACCACCGAATTCTGGAATCCCCCTCAGATTCCGTGAACTGTGCATTAGCTGTAACTCTCAAGGGGATCACACATGTTGAACACGGTTTGGTTCACATTTGCAACGCTCACTCACAAAAAGTATCTGAAATTACTTACAACGGTTTAGAAGACAGGAATCTATGGTTTCTATTTTAACATGAGGATTTGTTTTATGCATACCTCTATCTTTTTCAGGTGTGATGAACTGAAAGGACTATAGAAAAGTGGACTTTTCTTAGTTGTAGCGCCCTCTGGATGACAGGACAAAAAATAACTATTTCCCAAGGAACCAGTTTGAAGTAAGCATCTTGTATTGTGGTTCCTACGAAGGCGGCCTCTTCACGGAGACAATCTCCCAATAAAATGCGACTGAAAGATTTCTTTAAAATCTGCGGAGTGCTGGTTACCGAAAGGTAATGCAACAATCAACACGGGGTACTATAGTTAAAGCCAGCTTTTTGGTATCAGAAGAATGATGAGCGCAAAGTTTACTACCTGTTCAAGAGGATAGGGCGTATAGAGAATGGTTATCTGGAAAGGAAAAACTGATCTATCCTAAAGTAGATAT